CTATCTATCTATCTATCTATCTATCTATCTATCTATCTATCTATCTATCTATCTATCTATCTATCTATCTATCTATCTATCTATCTATCTATCTATCTATCTATCCATCTATCCATCTATCTATCTAATCTTTCTATCTATGCCTGTTTTCTGTTGTAACTGGGAGGAACACACCATTGACTAGAATGAGAATAGCTAAGATGGTCCAGAATGTAATATATTTATTGATCATATTTCTCAGCAGTGGCGTAGGAAGTGTGGTGCGGAGGGGGCATTCAGCCCCGAGTGCCCCTTTTTTCGTGATGCATGGACGGGCCGCGGTTTCGGCCAGCAGCATAGTTTTTTTATGGAATGGGTGGGGGCGTCAAAATTATAAGCCCGACCGGGGCGGCATCAACCGCATTACGCCACTGATCCTCAAAGATAACGTTCTGAAGTACTGAGGCTGGGCTATGAACCATTTTGAATACTCTGCCTGGGAAAATGTAAAGCCTTTTATCATCTAACTGCATGAGTAGAATCATGTGGCGCCTTATCAATATGTTTAGCTGGCCATGAGCCAGCAACACTGGAAACAGTTATCAGTAGTGTTTAAAGAACATATATTTTCATTGCTGCCTCCAAACATATACCACACGATCGAAATAGCAGTCCATTTAATTGGTAAGTAATCAAATGATCGATATAACCATTCATTATTTCATTTGGTAAGTTACAACATGATCCAAATAGCCATTCATTTCATTGGTCAGATATATAGCGATCCAAATAACCATTCATTTCATTGCCTAGGACTGGGCTCACCGCGCTGTACATACACTTTAAAAAAACATAATAAAATCTGAAATAATAAATTGACATACATTAATTAAATAAAAGAAAACAAATGTATATATAAAACTATTCACATCTCAAGCCATGGACGACACTCAGTACCGTCGTTTTACGGTCAGAGATGGGAATCAGTCATGATAGCAAAGATTAAAGAGACGTACTTTGAGTGCAGTTTTGAAGGTTGTGATGGTCGGTAAATTGCGAATGTGTAATGGAAGAGAATTCCATTGTTTGGCTGCACAGAAAGAGAACGATCGTTCACGTATGTTTTTGTGCGAGTCTTGGGGACAGAAAGAATACGCGCGTCTGCGGAGGAGCAAAGCTGTCGAAAGGGTGAATAGACAGAGAGAAGCTCGGTCAGACAGGAAGGGGAGGAATTCGAGAAAAAGTTGTGGCAAAGAACAGAGAGTTTGTATTCAATACGTGCTTGAATGAAGTAGTGGTGTGACGTGATCACGTTTTCTTGCTTTTAGAATTAGCCTAGCGGCTGAGTTTTGAACCTTTTGTAATTTTTCTTAAAAATATTTTGGTGAACCTGATAGAAGAGAATTACAATAGTCAAGACGAGAGAAAACACGAGCACAGACTAGGGTTCTTGTTGCACCAACTGTAAGATATTGGCGGATGAAGTTTATCTGACGAATGGCGGTGTATACAGAGCGACAAATGTGAGAGATATGATTATCGAGAGACATATTGTTAGACAGTATATAACCAAGATTCCTAGCGGAGAAAGTAAACTGTATATCAGAGTTACCTACATGAAATGAAGTGGGGAGAGCTGAGTTAGAGGATGATTTATGATCGTAAATAAGCGCTTCCGTTTTGTCATTGTTAAGCTTCAACTTGCTGAGTGTCATCCATGTCTTGACATCATAAATGCTCTCCCGCAAAGTCCGGACAGCGGAATCGACAAGAGAGGAATGGGTATGCTTGTATAGCTGCGTGTCATCTGCAAATGACTGGCTCTCCCAAGCATGCCCCCCGAGCAAGAGGAGCAGTGGCCTGGTATACATTATGAATAGAACCGGGCCTAAAACGGACCCCTGGGGCACTCCGTACACCAAGTCAGCACTGCCGGATAGACAGCCAT